ATACACACACATGCACACACACATGCACACGCACATACACACATATATATATGCTGCAAATATAGACAGACACAGACACATACATACAGCATATATGTATACATAAATGTGTATGTATATGTCTTTACTCTCCATAAAACATTATAGGGATGACAAAATGAACAGGTGTGCTGATGAGAAAAGCTCAGTTTAGAGGAGGACAGGTAGGAGAGATCACATGTATCAAATAGCAGTAAGTAATAGCAATAGGAGCAAACGGTAATAATGATGGAATCATTGATAACCTAACAAGCATTGGACAGACTAACTGGAACGGTTGAAAGATTCTACACATCAGCTGTATTCATGGATCTTTTTCCGGAAATATATACACACATACACACACACCTGTCGAGAAAAAGACTATTATATTTTCCATTGTTGAACCGATCCATCGTTCGATTTGATTTGCTGTTCACAGCTCATCATACATGGATGAGGAGGAACGGAAGTTACTTACTACAGTCTCACTTTCAACAAATTGATTAGTCTCAAAATTCTAATCAATCGATTCAGTTTTCTTCCCAATGATATGCATTAAATAACTGAAAGAATTATCCTACAAAATGGGATCCTTGAAATATGTTCCAATGATGACCAAAACATCCCTTGTTATTTCTTGCAACGATAACATTAATCATCTAGTTTTTACTGATAAATGTAATAAGTTTGAAGCTATCAGTTGCTATCAAAAAGTATAAAAATGAATTAAAGTATTGCTTGGATGACTTGTTCGTGCTAAAGACATATACTACTTCTCCCATATTTATTCAGTAAGGTTATGAAATCTACAGTAGAATAATTAAATTCAACAATTTTGTACATTAAAAAGTACGATCGATTGTGTGATGTAATTGTACATGATGTATTTTATATTGCATGACTAATAAAATGAGTGGAACACGGTGATGGGTTCCACACCGTGACCGACATATTGGAGCTCATCATCCATTTGCATCATTATCATATTTTTATTATAAAGATCAAAATTCTAATATCGAAAATAATATTAGTTATGTACAAGATTGTAGATCAATAAAAATTGATATAACAAACATGTAAGTGAATAAATGACTGAGGAACTAAAATGGGCTATTAAAATTACCGATTGCTAGTTCCAAAAA